TCTCCAAAGGAGAAAACTGCCGGCTCTGCTCCCTGCCGCGCTCCGCTCCGAGCGTGTCCTCCCTCCTGTCCGGCTCTAGGGGTTGGTTGTTCTGGAACAGGGTGTGGGAGCACTCCTTAATTTAATGACCGCAATTAAAAGTTGCTGCTGATCCAGCGTCTCTTGCCAGCGCCAGACGTGTTCCCGTAACGCCCTTTGCCGCGTGACACCGAGCGGTGACGTCAAACCCACGCGGGCTGTCGTCGGGCTGTAGTACAAGCGGCCGTCGGTGTTTTGGGGGGTTTCTCCTGGTTTCTGCGTGTGTTCTGCTTTGTGTGTAGCCCCCGGCTCGGTTGCTTCTCTGCTAACGCACTGAGCGTCATGGGGAATGTCCAGGGTGATGTCCCAGATGCTTCCTGGTGACTTCATGATAGCTCAGACCTCCAGGAATGTGCTGAACTCCCTGAAACGCCAAAAAACCAAAGTGGAGCTGCTGTAAAGAGCTGCCATATCTGTAATTATAATAAACCCGATTATAACCCTACAGCAGGTATGTCCATGGGCAATTTCTGTGTTGCTGAATTTATGCTTACTACAAAGGATGGAAAATACTTTGTTTTACCAAAGGAAATTATATTTGAAGTAGGTAACAAATGCTAAATATCTTTGCAGAGTAAATAGGGTGTTGTTGCCCCAGCCCTCCTTGTGCATCGAAACGTGCTTTTTTTGCCAATTTAAACATCTCCCTTCTGTAAAGCACTGCCTGTGACTCTTTGTTTTGGTGTCTGCATAAAATATTATGAGATCAAAACATTGTGGCTGAAAACGTAGACCTCGGAAGATGAAATCAGACGTCTTTCTGCCTAACGAGTTTGGGATAAATCCCCGGCTCCTCGGAGAGCGGCGGCAGAGGCGGCTCCCAGCCCGGCCGGCGCCGGGGGCCCAGGACACCTGGGGAGTTCACGGGCTTTTGGGGCAGGTGATTTGGTTTTTCTCCCCCTTAAATTCCAGGGCTTTGGGTTGCGTTTGCCTTTTGCTGGTCCCCGCAGGCGCTAGGCACCGTAGCGATGGCTCTGTGCCCTTCTTGTAGTTGTTTTCCTTAAATATAGCAAAGAAATTGCTAGCGCTGGGTATTCTGGCTTAGAAAATTGAATTTAAGAAGAGCCTAACAGCCACTGTTAGTCGTAGGTGCACAAAATAGCTCGGGAAACCACAAAGCTTCGACCGCAGAAAACCACATTGCCGCATGATCCTATAATTTGAAGAAGGGACAGACTTTTTTTGGCTCTCCCTGTGGATGGAGCCGCGGCCGGTGCCGGGAGCAGCCGGTTCCAGGCCCCTCGTGCGTGCAGGGGGGTCCACGAGGGATCGCGTGTGCCGGCCCCGGCCCTGCTCCCGGGACACTATGGCCCAAACCGGAGCTGCTGCAAGATGCCCCTTGCAATTCCCACTTCCCTCGGCTCCCAGCTGCGAGCCGGAGGGATCCTTCACCCCGCTGCGCTTTTTAGGGAGAGAAAAGCTGTTTTTGGTGTGGAAACACCGCGCTCCTTGGCCAAGCGGGGAAGGAGCCCGCGCGGGAAGGGGCTCGAGCTCGGAGGCGTTTGCTGCAGCTTTGCCGGGAGCCCGGGCTGGATTTCGCTGCTTCTGCGCTGAGCTGCTCTATCTAATCTGGCGATCGATCTTCAAGAGCAGTGAGCCCATCACTGTGGTATCTCGTAAGAATACGTGTGAAAATCTTGTTTACAACGGACTCGACGCTTCCTCCGATCGGGTTTGACTAAGATTTCTTTTTTTCTTTTTGGGGTGCGCTGCAGACAAAGCCAGGGCTCCCGCAGCTGGCGAAGGAGGCCGTAGCAGGCAGCCCTCCCGGGCGTGCTTAGGTGAAGGGATTTTGGAGATTTGCATGGAAATTACAGCAAAATCCCTCAAAGCCTTCAGCCCCGCTGCCCTATTGCTAGAAGACAGCAAGACCCAGTAGACTGGATCACATGGACGCAGCTTGGTGGATCCTGATTTAAGGCAATTAAAAGAAAAAAAAAAAAAAAGAGAAAGCCAACAATTAGTTGTAATAGATTGCGAGAAGAATGAGCGCAGCAGCTGGCTCCTGCCGCACCATTATCTCGAGATTCAGGGACCTGCAGCTTCCTGTAGAGACCGCACACGGGTTGCTGTAGGTGCCGCACCTACCTCCAACAATTACAATAAAAACGGGCACGGGTTTTGTCAGCAGTGTTGGTGCCCCTCCGTTCTCTGCACGCACGCAGCTTTCGGAGGCCTTTATTTGATATATAGTGCATGCGTCCCTATGTGTGCACACGCAGGCGGAAAGGCCGGCGCTGTCCTATTTCCAGGGGAGCTGCAGCAAACACGCGTGCGTGGCAGCCACAACCTGCTGCTTTTGCCCTAGACAAGGGCGCCGACGCTGCTCCAAACGCTCCGAACGCTCCGAACGCTGGGAGCTCAGGGCAGGCAGGGAGCAGCGCCTTGGCCGCAGCAATTCCTGCGCCGGCGAGTGCCCGTTGTGGACGGTGCAGGTGCCCTGTGCCTGGAAAGGAGAGGATTTTGGCCGGGCAGGAGCTGGTGTCCGGTTCTTCGAGGTTGGTGGCTGCAGTGACCGTCCTGCTCTCAGCCCACAGGTGCAGAGCCCCGGTAACGTGGGCGCACGTGCAGGTGGCCACACGGATGGTCCAGCAAGCCCGTGTCCGACAGGGGCAGAATCGAGCGGGACAAGCGCATCCCAGTGCTCCAAGAGCCCCTTCCCGCAGCGTCGGGACGTGCGCCCGGGGGTGGCGGCACCCGCTGCAAGGAGGTTTCCACCTCTGCGTCTCCCATCCCCACGTCACCCAAACCTGGGCACGGCCAAAAGCCCTTCTGAAGCGCCAGGAAGGAGGGGACAAAAAGCTGGTTCAAAGGTAGGCGTGAGGCTTCGTTTCAAAATCGTGTTCTTCAGGCACCAAAGGGCTTGCTGAAATACAAAAATCCTCGGCGATGGGGAAAGAGAAGGAAATACCTAGAACTGTTGCAACAACGAGTGTGCTAATTTTAGAACATCTTTAAGTCATCCTCACTTTCTGGAATTATATTGTGCAACATATATTTTTTTCTAGCTAATAAATGTTTTGTTTTTAATGAAGAAATGCTAAATCTCCCTTATATTTCACTTTGAAAGCACTATAAAAGTGAAATGTGGAACTCATTCTTCCATGTCAATGATTAGAGGCCCAAAATACATCTGTTACACATGAACAACTGCAGACTTTGCTTTCACAGAAGAATAGCTATATTTGTCGTTAGTTTGAATGTTGATTTCATTCTCGTGAGCTTGAGCTCGTAGAGGCAGAAAAATGTCACAATCCTGTTTAAAGCTCTAATTATTGAGTTCTAAGCATCCAGATGTTGGAGAAAAACACTTTGATACCGAGCTCAATGTGCATACTTAGCTAACACTGGGTTTGCTTTAGAACTAGCACGCCCTGCTGCTAAACTGGGCTCTAAAAGCAGAGGATCCTCGTTATAGTTTCAGACTAATTGCACAGATAAACTGCTTGGGCTTAGGGGCTCACTCAGAGCTGTGGAAAACTTTTGGAGGGCTCCTTTTGACTTGCTGCAGTTATTTGCTGCCATTGCAATATCCACTTTGTTTCAAATGGGTTTGCAGAAATAGGATCACTGACTAACTTATTTTCCTCTAGAATAATAAATACCCTTATTAGCTCCTGAAATCTAGGTGTGATTCAAAATTCCTAAGTGAAATTATGTTTCAGGAAGAAGTTATGAAGGTATCTTAACCTGCATTGTGAATTTATGCTTAAATTCCACTACTGTTCTATTGGAATTTTGCACTGAGCTCTTGAGAGCAAGGATAATTTATGTACAAGGATGCCTTAAAATAAGCCCCTGTAATTACAAAAATGCAGTGTTTAAATTTATAGTAAAAACCCACACACTGCTGGCAAAACTATAACTGCATCTGGAAAACATTAAGGATGCTATTAAAATAGTCTAGCATAAACTAGAAATGAGACTGAAATTACAGTGTTGCTTACTTAACCATTTTTAGGAAGTATATTTTGACTGTGATCTACTCTCCTATGCGATTCTTTGATAAAACACTCCATTGTAGCTTGTTTACCACCGAGAATGAATTACGTACTTTGTTACCTATTTTAGAAAAAGCCATAGCTCAGATTTTTAAGTGTCTTCTTGCAATCGTTGATAATTTAAAACATAACCAGGTGGTGGCTGGTCCAGCTACCAGGGGAAAAAGTAACGGAGATCTCAAAGGAGAATAAAAATCACAGCAATTAAAAACTTATTTTATTAAAAAGATGAATTGCTTTCAAACATTGAAAAATTATGTTTTTATAAAAACAGAAATAGGCAAAATACCCATTTGTCTTCTATTTACATATACAATATTTATCATTGTATAAAACTATTTACAATATATAAAAAAAATTAGACAGTAAAATAGGTTATTTTCTTACAAGACATCAAGCCCTGTACTTCTAGTGTAGATCATGGCAAACAAGAAAATTATTGCACCTGTGAAACAAACAGTCTAACCGTAGGAGTGTTCTCTTAGCCATGCCTTCAACCGAGATCTAAACACCGCTAGCTACAGTAACATTCAGTTAATCTCCTCTAGGGTCAACTTCAGGCAGTTTCCATACAAACATTGTCTCGTAAAGCTCAGGACCGGGCAATCGGAATTGGGGAGGGGGAGAATAAAAAATAATAATTAAAAAAACACATCAGTATTTACAGCTTCTTCTATACAATCTGTATGGAGTCTTACGGAGTTTCCCCTTCACCGAAGCTGTATAAATAACCCCCGTTTCCCCCCGAACGGCTGGGCAGGTACACGGATACAGTCCAATAGTCTTCAGGAGATGCCTGGCTAAGTCTCCTCGTGTCGAATCCTCCTCCGCAACAGGCGAGCGCGTCGGTGCCTCCCTACGTAGTACCAGCTACAGGCTTCGGAGCGGTTCTGCACCTGAGCACTTCACTATGGAGTTCGCGGCGGGCAAGGCGAGGCCCGCGGGCTACATGTGCCGTTTCATGTGCAAGGCCAGGTGGTCCGACCGCGAGAAGGCCCGGTCGCAGAGGTGGCACTGGAAGGGCCGGTGGCCGGTGTGCTTGCGGTAGTGACGCGTGAGCTCGGAACTCCCAGCCGCAGCCTTCCCAGTTGCAGTGGTAGGGCTTCTCACCTGGGGGAGGCACAACGGGGGTGAGCGCCGCGCTCCCACCCCCGCGGCGGGCCCCTGCCGCGGGCCTTCCCCCTCGGTGGAGCCCAGCCATTCCCTCGCTATTCCCAACCCGCATCCCAAAGAAGGGCACAGAGAAAAGCCACCACCCTATGCACAGGAGGACCTTGCAGTGCCCTACACCTGTGGCATCGCACAGGGTTTGCTCCCTCCGCTTAGGGACACCGGCGGGTCAACGCTCAAGCCGCGCGCGGCCCCGGTGCCGCCTCGCGCGCCCCACGGGAAGCACCTGCCCGCGCTTACCTGTGTGCGTGCGGAGATGGGCCTTGAGGTGCGAGCTCTTGGTGTAGGTCTTGCCGCAGCCCGCGTAGGTGCACGTGTGAGTGGCCGTCCTCTTCCGAGGCCAGGAGCGCCGGCCTCGCTTGGGCTTGGAGTCCAGCAGCTCCAGAGGGGACGAGGGCGGCGTGAGGACGCCGCGGGGCGCCGACGCTTGCAAGGGCAGGCTCTCCTCGAACAAGCCGAACTGGGAGCCGCTCTGGTACTGCAGGTGGG